CTCCACTCACCCTCATTGGGAAGTACTTCTATATCTGTCGTGTCAGTTCTGACTGTAGCTTTGTGGACACCGGTGTAGTACATGACTGACACCTGGCTGTGCAGACTGACACTGCGTTGCTGTGAACTGCTGTTTTTCAACTTGATCATCAGCTCTGCATCTTTTCCCATTTTAGGACCGTCACCATCTAGCGTAACTTCTAAAGAGACATCCTGAGCTGTAGGAGATGAATAAGCTTTTGCTTTGGAGCCAAAGCTACATGCTGTTTCCACAGCAATGCGTTCCTCATTTGAGCCTGAGAATGACAAGAAATATTGAGATAATTGAATAAGTTATCCAACAATAATATCTCAGTTATAGCCCTTTTTTTTAATTTTTTTGTGATCTCCTTTAAGTCTAAGTAAGTGTCTGCTTTTTTGTTTGATGCTACCTTCAGGGTGTTTGTAAAGGTGGGTGATATCACTGCGTTCATTAGAGCCAACTGCTTTGGTGCTGATGGAGATGCCCACAATCTTTTTCTCACTGTATATTTGAGTGAAGGTCCCATCTGCATTCTTCTGCCAGTAGATTTTATCACTGTTCACCTGAGATATCGATGAGACAGACCATGAGAGAGAGATGGAGTTAGAAAAAACAGCCCCCACCACAAAGGAAGCTGTCATATATTTAATGCGTGCCATATGAATCCCTATCAGTATACAGTGTTTTCATATCTACCATGATAAATGTCTTCTACCTTCCCAAAACCCAGTAAAGAAGAATATTTCACAAACCTCAGCAAACACAAAACCTGTGTCATGTTTCAGGTAGACCTGACCATAGCGCACAGCAGCGAGAGAAGCAGGGCCACAGCAATAGGTGCCCTGGCTGGTCTCTTGAGGCGTGGCGTCGACAGCCTGCCATCCTCCGTTGCCAGGAGGTAAGTCCTTACGAGCCATCCAGCAGTCATTCCACACATGGAAGTTCCTTCAGAAAACAATTATGGTTGGTAAACTAAAGTTATAGTGAAAACAGCTGTGGAAATTTTAGTTCTGCGTAAATCTGTCAAGTACTATGAGGTTTCTGTGGGTAGTTTTTACAACCTGTCATAACAAATTTAAAGTAAATCAACCACATACCAATGTATAAATGAAGACACATGTGCTGACGTTGCCATCTTTGTATTGTCAGACTTAAATTATTAGGCTATACCACTTATCTTTTAGTTGTTTCCAAATACTGGTTGCTTGTACCACTGAGGAGTAACTTTAGATTAAGCCACTAGAGTCATGCAACGGTTAACCTCCTTCGTTGTAAGTCAAGGTAAATGTGACATATGGTGAACATACCAAATTGAGTCCACATTGAGGTACTCTATAGGCTCCAGGTTCTCATCCAGGTACACATCTGTTGTCAATGAAACATCTGTGTCATGTGCTGAGCTGAAGTTGGTCACGGTTCGGGTGGGAATGCCTAAACACCGTAAAACTGAAAAGAAGACAATGGGTTTAATATCGTATCATTTTGATCAAATAAACATATTGTAAGCTGAAAAAAGTCTAACCTGTAGTGACAACACCAGCAAAGACCCAGCATTGGCCATATTTAACAGGAGTTCCATTCTTTTTGTGGTATTCCTCGAGGATTTCTACACTTCCACTCCACACTGTTGGAGAAGTTCCATTTGAATAATCTCCTGACCAGTTTCCCTCCAAAACACCTTGGTCATCAGGGGAGTTTACCTGAGAAATAAAGGAAGTGTTTCATGCTTTCATGGTTGACTTTAAGGACAATACCCAAAATACCTTAAGTTAGCTAGTTTTTTTGTTTATTAATTCAAATCTAGACATTTGTTTTTTGCATTTAATCCATAGCAGGTGTAAGCAGAAGTGTGCAGCCACCATTTGGCCACTTGGTATCCACTCCAGCTTTCAGCCACTGCCTGCGTTTAGGGGACTATGATATGGCATATGCGGTTTAACATATTTTACTGTTTGTT